ACTTTTCAAAACTATATTTTCAAAACAAAACTGTTGTATTTCTTTATTCCAAATTTTTAGAAATCTACTCCAAGTGATATTATTCAGGGTTCAATTTAAACATTTTGATAAATATGATTAAGTTATATGTTAGGTAGAAATCAGAAAATATAAGTTTTCTAAGGAAAGGTCCTACCCTAAAGGGAATATCTTGTTTAAGAAAATGTCCTGTGAAACAACATATTGAAATATAATAGAATGTGCACTGGGCCTGAGAGGGCAGAATTCTGTGTTACCTTAGGGAAATTGTAACTCTGAACCTCAGTGTCTTTATCTAAAATGTACATGGTAATACCTATTCTGCTCATCTCAGGAATTTTATGAAGACCTAATAAGAATATGAGTGTAAAAACATTCTGTACACTGAAAAATGCCATCCAAATACCAGGAATTCAAAAAATTGGCAGTGAAGTTTAATAAATATTTGATTGCAGTTTTATTTCAAAATAATTTTTATCCCGAAATGTGTGGGACATCTGTATAAATCTATAAATATTGCTACATTTTTATTTTTCTTTTGTAGCTAAATACCTTTAAAATAGAAAAAAATAGTTCTTTGCCATTAATGGATTTTGATGACCAAGTTTTCATCATACTTTCTTTTGGAGGCGGAACCTCAAAATCAAAAATTTTTATGTGATTTCAAATATTTGACATAAAACCCCAAAATAGAATATTTGTAGGAAATATTTTTCTCCATGTTAAAGGCTTGATTAATAAGTCAAAAGTTCTCATGAGAAGTGAAAGAAACAGATTTGAAAGGGTCCCATAAAGTCACATGTAACAACTCTACAGAAAGAATGTGGAGTAGGGTCAATATTCTAAAGATACAGTTCAGGACTAAGTGACTATCATCCTTCCATTTTCTTTTCACTTAAATGGGTCCTTTAATTTTTTCTGTTTTATTGCAATTAATACCTAATTGCTGCCTCCTTTTAATATTTCTTCTGCCTTTCTACTTTCCATTCTGCTTTTAGGATGCTTAAATGTCCTTAATATTTTTTTTTCTTTTTTGTTAACATTTTGAATTTAAATGTATAGAGAGTTCAGTGCTTTTCAAAGGTAAACTGTATCATAAGAATGAAATTCATTTGATACCTTTTAGGGTCTTACCTTTCCTTAAGATTTTATTCCAATTTTTGTGTTTTTTTTCACAGAAAAAGGTGAGCCCTTTCTAAAGTACCCTAGTAAATGAATGTTTTATTTGAAAAATGACATAAGGCATGTAAGTTTAATCAGAGCTTTGTTTTCTGGCTTTTTCTATGTCATATCAAAGAGTGGGTATGTTTTTGTTTTTAATTTTTAGTTTGGATAGGATGTTGTTTGACAAATTTTAAAAAATGTGAGGTGCTGTGTTTTGCCACAACTTCCAAGAAGCTTAGAGATAAATTTAGGGTTCATTGTGCTAGTTAGCTCATCCATGTGTACTTGTCTGTTTTAACTTACAATTGTCTTTAGATCATTATTTTCCTTTTTATCCTTTTTGAAAGTAGAGATGAGAATGTGAATTGATATGCATGTACATCAGTATATATGCACACACACATAAATACATCCACACATACTGTGTAAACATGTTTTGAATTTCTTTTAGCCAACAAATGGAATCTTCTTGAGCATGTTTCTAATTGTTTTGCCATTGGAATCCATGGCTCATGGACTCTTCCGTGAATTGGGTAACTGTTTAGGAGGAACGTCTGTTGGATATGCTATTGTGATTCCCACCAACTTCTGCAGGTACAGTGATCTCGTATAGTTAATAATTACTTGATTCATA